GGTGTGGTGTGGTGTGGCGTGGTGTGGTGTGGTGTGGTGTGGTGTGGTGTGGTGTGGTGTGGTGTGGTGTGGTGTGGTGTGGTGTGGTGTGGTGTGGTGTGGTGTGGTGTGGTGTGGTGTGGTGTGGTGTGGTGTGGTGTGGTGTGGTGTGGTGTGGTGTGGTGTGGTGTGGTGTGAGGGGGGAATCGGTTGTAATGAATAGTGAGTAAGAAACCTTTCATTCAAGCCCCACAACAAGGTTTTAAATTTTTTTGTCGTGGTTTTTAAATGGCGGAAGGTCAGGAAGGAGGGAAGTACGAATGCCTCTCTCCGGGAAGATAAGGGTTGCCTCCGCTATGGAACGACTGTTGGCCCCTAATTAGGCAACCTCAGTAAATCCGCTTTCATCGTCTCTCGCAACAGGACATCCTCGTCGAGGCAGCTGGCGGCGAGGAGTGCAGGGCAATGGCCGCCGTACAGGCCTTTGACGGCGTCTCCATGCTGGTGGTGCAATCCGGTGTGGCTTGTGACCCGTGGGTCGACGCCGGCCTGACGGCACTCGTGAACGGGCCGCTCGACTTCTTCGACGCCGTTTTCTGCGCGCGTTTCGCCATCTCCGACGTAACGGTTACCATCATCGACGGCAGCTTGTTGTCGCAGCCGCCGCCACTGTCGCCATCACGGATCGGGAGCCCGCCGTCGCAGCCGTTATTGAGGCGCAGTCCGCCGCCGGGGAGCAAAGCTCCGAAGTCGCCGCCCCGGCTGCCGCCGTCACCAAGGCCGCCGCCAGGTACTCCTAGGTTCCCGGCATCTCCGCGATTCCCTCGGCCGCCAGCGGTGCCGCGGCCGCCGCGACCAAGTCCTGTCCTGCCGCCGCCATCCAAGCCTTCCCCTTCGCGGGTGTTCAAGGAGACCCCGGTACCCGCCAGTACACAGCCACCGCTGCCACCGCTGCTACCGCCGCCGCCACCCAGCCCAGACCCTCCAACACCACCGTCACCACCGCCGCCGCCGCCGCCGCCACCGCCGTCGCCCTCAGTGCAGTCGTCTCCTCCTCCCCCTCCTCTTCCCTCGCCTCCAAGCCCTTCGCCGCCACCTCCTCCCCCCCATCTTCCGCACCCCTCCCCGACCCCTCCGCCTGTCCTTCCCCCTCCAACGTCGCCGCCCACCTACTCTCCATCCCCACCCCCGTCAACTCCGTCTTCGCACTCGCTAACGCCACCCCCGGCGGTGCCGTCGAGTCCAACGTCGGAGGTTCGGGTGCTTCAGAGCCGCAGCATCCGCGGCTCCTTCCTGCTCTACTCCGAAGGAACCGACTTCCTAGCAGACGAATACCAGAAGCAAGAGTTCTCTCAGGCCGTGCAGGTGGGCATTATGTGGGGGTGGGGGGGGGCTGTATGTATGTATGTATGTATGTATGTATGTATGTATGTATGTATGTATGTATGTATGTATGTATGTATGTATGTATGTATGTATGTATGTATGTATGTATGTATGTATGTATGTATGTATGTATGTATGTATGTATGTATGTATGTATGTATGTATGTATGTATGTATGTATGTATGTATGTATGTATGTATGTATGTATGTATGTATGTATGTATGTATGTATGTATGTATGTATGTATGTATGTATGTATGTATGTATGTATGTATGTATGTATGTATGTATGTATGTATGTATGTATGTATGTATGTATGTATGTATGTATGTATGTATGTGTATGTGAGCTAATCAACTCCGGGGAGTTCGGTTGACTCCTTATCCTAACCCGTTTTTGTGTACGACCACTTGGATACGTAGGATACCTCGGAGGTTGTTACGGTTCTGTTCAACGCTCCGGGGGGGGTGATCTTGAGTAAATAATGGGTGTTGAGTTTATGTCGGCGTCCTGAAGTGTTTTTGCGTGTGTGTGTGTGTGTGTGTGTGCTGCCTTTTCCACTAGGAGTTGCTCATGGAGTGCCTTCACCCATACCTCCCTCCCTCTCTCGCATTTAATACTGATTTGGAGTTACCCCT